GAAATGTCACATGGTAATCCTGCACAAGCCTAGCTACCGAAGGCTACACCACAGACAGATCACAGCCTGCCATCTTGTTTCTGAAGACGCAGCGCGAGGCTTCCACGGCCCTGTTGATAACACAAGTGGTTCAGACAGAAAGATGCAGTGATGCTCTATACTGCGTATGAGAGTATATTCTCTACTAGATGCCCAGAGAAGCACTGGAGATACCGCTAAGAACAGGAAGAAACAGGCTAGTAAAAGAGATCAAAATGGATGTTGATTTCTATAGCCCAGTAAAGTCTTTTCATTGTTACCTTTCCTCAACAAGGTTAAGACAGACAGCTGAACATGCATTGAGACCACTTCCATTTTATACATGATGTACTATACATGAGTTTTAAAAATGAAACTGAAGCTCACAACTGGGATCTCTACTTGTCTGTCACCTCTCTCGTAGAGAACACAAAGTGAGGCGGTCCCATCTTCTCTTTGTACCCATGCAGACAACTGTTGGATTTCACCCCTCTAAGGTTTACAGTTCGATTTAGGGTAATTAGAAGCAAATGACAAATGTCTTCAAATGTGCGTCACAGGCAATTCTCAAGTCAATTCTCAAACTCACATCACAATAGTCAGCACTGCAGTTCAGCTGACTAACTGTAAGCCATGTGTTCTTCCTAGTTCTTCCTAGTCTGTGGGGGTTCACAGAAAGAGCACAGGGGTTCGGGTGTGTAAAATCAACATTCAACAAGCAGAAAAGCCCCGGCAGCAAATATAGAAATAACAGTAGTTTTAAGCTATACTGATTCGTTATTTGAATGCAATCGTATTCCAAAACTGAAGCTTCTTGGCGAGAGTGACCTCTCGAAAACAGATCTGCAAGGGAGATAAGGCTGAGAAACCCTGCTCCACTGGACAGCGGATGCCAGTTTTAGACGTCCCCCTGCTCTGGTCAGCAGGAATCTCACCTCATAACGTCCTGTCGACCACATGGCCAGACTGCTGCACGAGCCATTGTTTCAGCATCACTAGCACCAGTGTAATTCCCGAACCCTTCAACATGACAGCACCCCTCCATGCCAACCTTTACTCAGGTCTAAGGCCATGTTTATACACACATCCCTGACCCCTGTTTGATTGACAATATTGCCAAGCTAGCTCATTACTGTTGTAGTCCCCTGCCAGTTCAACTTTATACGCAGTTTTGTGGTAGTTTCACTTCACCAGAGGCAGGGGTTCTAATGGAAATGGAAGCACAGCAAATAAATTATACTTCTGCTGCTTTGCTTTTGATATCAAAAGTAGATATAAAGGAAAGAATATCATATAAAACAACAACAGTTTGGTGAATATTTGTATAGGTACTGACAGTAATTGATCATGGTCTAAAGCTGTTCTAAAGCCTACCTTCTGTTTCTGCCTTACCTAGCAACAAAGTCAGTGATGATGTCAAACTTAAGCTGAACTGAGTTCTCAGCTGTGCCACCAGCACCTGAAACTGTCAAGCACAGTAACTCTTGGCAGAACTTCACAGAGACTTGACAACAAGGATCACCCATTTCTTTGCTCTTATGCACTGGCCCACTGTATAGTTAGAACTTAATCTGGTCCCGGATCTGGGCCGATGCATACATTAAACTCAGTCACCAGCAAACTGCACCACTGATCTGCATGTTGTGGTACAGGAACATCCTACAACTTGTGTGCAACGCCAGTCTATGTGTGTGTCATTATCTCCACGCCTGCGGTGGGTTTCTCATGCAGCAGTCCCTGCTAAGAAGGTGATATTCACATTTTTTGGGGGAAAAACTTTTTGCAATATTTACAAACAGTGAACTAATGTCACAGCCAAAATGAAAATGTCAAAAGCCAAAATGATCAAACTGGTAAGTGACATATAAATAGTTTCAGTATGAGCCAGCACTTAGGATCTAGTTCAGTCAAGCCCCCTTCTAAAATTATCCAGTGAACCTTCCAAATAGATTATCCATACGAAACACAAAACCTTGTAATTGCAAAATTGCCTTGAAATGAAAAGTTAATGTTTGTAAAGCATCAACTGTCAGCATTTAGAAGCACTACAAACTGAAGCAAACTGTAGTATGAGCTGCCTGATCGGAAACAGCCACAGGAAGGATGGACAGAGTTGGGTACAGTGTACTCCACTAACTTTATATCCTTCCTGTGCAGTCAAAAGTACAGTCTCTCCTGCAGACACTTTCACCTCCTTGGCTCACAGGAGGCCACCAGCCACTTTCTGACTCAGGAATAACACCTAGCAAAGTCATCAATGCTTTTAAAATGTTTTTTTCATGGTATAAGAAAGAATGATTTTATCACCCCACCTCCCATTTTGCATTAAAGTGTGTTCAATAACACCTGCAAAGTGAAACCATGCACACTGTTTAACAATGAATTCAAAACAAGGACAATTTTTAGCTGATTTTCAGCTAAAGCAAAAGACATACCAGACTAAGACGGCCTGTAAAATCTCTTATACTCACATTTAGAAAAAAACAGCTTTAACTTTGATTGCTTGGTCTACAAAATGCATAGTTCAATAGGAAGAGAGTCTCAAATGATTCTCCATCTCATAGTTTGCAAAAAAATAATCAACCTCACACCTGGACCCACTCTGGGGAGGAGTGCTCAGGACTTGTGACATACTGGACAACGGCTGTACACGGTCACATGTTTCTTGAAACATTAATGTTGTACTCTTGCACAAGGTTCTTCAATTAAATTATTTCTGCAAAACACCCAACTATATAATCCTGTACAAATATAAACTGGTTTGGATAAAACATGACAGGCAGCATGTTGGAGCAGTGGTCAGTACTGCTGCCTTGCAGCACTGGGGCCCTGGGTTCAATCCCAGACCTGGGGTGCTGTCTGTGTGGAGTTTGCATGTTCACGATGCGTTTGTGTGGGTTTCCTCTGGGCGCTCTGGCTTCCTCCTACAGTTCAAAGACATACTGATAGCTAAATTGGCTTCTGTGGAATTGGCCCTGGTGTGCGTGTGTGTGTGTCTGTGTGTGCCCTGTGATGGACTGGTGTCCTGTCCAGGGTGTACCCTGCCTTGTGCCCGTTGCTTGCTGGGATAGGCTCTGGCTTCCCTATGACCCTGAATTGGACGAAGTATCTAGAAAATAGAGGGCTGAATGGAAAAATACTTATCAAACATAGTAGCAGTGCTGTATATTTAGCTGTATTTAGCAGTAACATAAACCATAAAAACTGGTGACTTCAGGAACTGCAGTGATTCAAAACAAATGAACAAAATCAAAATACAATCAACCGTTCGAAAGTGAGCAATTTCATGCACGGCAAGGGATTCAGGCTCGCAGTAAATCAAAAGATGTTTTTACCTCTAGAGACATCAATCATTTTCCTTGTACTGCAACAAGCAACAGCAAGCCATGTTACGTGAAGACACGGGTTGCTTCAGAAACACGTCAGAAATACGTTTAAAAGGTCAGAATTTCACCATGTGAGAAAGGTCCAGACCTCACAGCGCAGTAGGCTGCCTGGAGATTTGACTGGCATCTCTCGCTCGGGACCCGTTATTATCAATGTTATTATGAATCACACACTAGCCCAAAGGCTATTTTAAAAATAGCGACCCCGCGGCGATGCATCACTACCGCAACTGGGGGGAAACAAGCTCCTGTACACGCCTACTTCCTTCCCCTTGTTCGTGCTTCAAATTTAGAGGTGGCTGGTGAGTGAAATCTTTAAAATCCCTTTCAAATGTTTCACTCCTGTACGCGAGTAATTCTGATGAACGCATTGCACAAGAGCTTTCTGAAGGGCGAGATCATTTAAGAGCACATGAACTTGCCAGAGCCTATTTAAAAGTCAGGTTTAGGAGAGGGAAAGAGCTTGCATTATTCAAGTTGTGACTGAACTCTGGATTAATAACGCTACCACTGAGATAGCTCTCTGCACGTTACCACTTGCTGTTGGGTCTTTGAAGTGGGAATTTTTATATTTCAAGGGGGAAAAAAAGCATGTCATTTAAAATTACCTTCGGGAGGTAGGAAAATGTGGTTAACGCTTTCACGGCAGGAAAGGAGCTTTCAGCTAAGGAGGTTAATAAAATGACACCATTCACTCTGCAATCAAGCCTAAACGAAATTTACAGAATCTCATGGAACTGATTCCAAATACAACTTTGTCGCATTTATTACCACCCAGTGAAATAACTATAAGATTTAAGTAAGGCAAACAACAGCCAGGAAACATAAATTGACATTACATTATATTATTGCAACTATTATTTACTGTACCTGCAATAATGTACCCATATTATCTATATTGTCAGTTGACCTGAGTAGAGGCGTCTGTTACAATAGCAGAAATAGTAAAATAACTCGATAAAGTGACGGTCCTACCGAAAACTGTTGAAAATATCGAAGAACAAACGTTTATTACAGGTAATGCGATCGTAAACGAGACTTTAAAAATCGGTGGGAATCCGCTTGTTAAGGGAGAGCAATGTTTCGATCGGTAAACGTTTTCACCAAGAAAAGATGTTTCATCTTTGTTTCCTATCCCGGTCGACATCTGAACAGCACCTCTGCGCCGTTAAATACACGACAAAATGCCACAGGGTCACAGCTCGTGGAAGATGACGCCTTCACGGGAATGGTTTTAGGATGAATTATTCTAAAATGGTCCATTCTTTGTACTGTATGTTCTTCAAATGATAACATCTTCCAAAATATTTGACAGTCTTGTTCTAGATATGTTTTCGGCTGCATATAAAACTGCTGAACAAAAGAATTTTCGAAAACATTGCAGAACTGATCCCACGAAGGTACTAAAGGCAGAGTACCAGCAGTATGTTAACAAGTAACGATAATATGCGTATTTAAAGACTCAATATCAGACCTTTCAACGCCTCATGTCACAGGGAGCACTGTAACAGTTGCAGCCCTGCTAACTGCTAACTCTCCGTAAAAAAAAAAGAAAAAGAGAGAGAAAGAAAGAAAGAAACCACGGGGGACGCTTACCATAGCAAGCGTGCTCCTCAATCTTGTTCAAGCTCGCCATGCCGCGGAGCCTGGGGAGAGCAGAAGCGGGGAAGACGGCGATCAGCGATGAGGGACCCGCACCGACCTGCAGCGCCCTGCTGCGCTCTCGCTGGCGTCTGCGGTACTCGCACCTGAGCGCTCTCCTGCGCTCTCTCGGGCAGGCGGAAGTCCCACACAAAAGACACGCGAGTTCAGGCTCGGCGTTCAAGCTTCGGACTGGGGACGAAATTAAAATAAATAATAATAATACTAGTAGTAGTAGTAAGAAGAAGGATTTCGGATCACCCGCTAGATGTTTACCATCCAGCGCTTTCTCTTCGCTCTAACACTTTTTTTTATTTTCCATTGCCTGGCCATTGAAGGTGCTCATGTACCCGTGTCACACCGACAAAAAAAAAAAAAATTCCTCTGCGTGGGGTATACGGACGTTCCAACGAAAAGAGGAAACTACGAAGTCACTAGCACCGCACAACTGAAAAAAAAAAAACTTGTCTGGACGTGTGGGGCTACGACATTAGAAGAAAAAAAGTAAAAATAGCAGCATAATTCTGTAGCTCAAGTGCATTATTCTGTGTACTTTCTAAACATCGATAGATGTTAGAAGATGATAGAAGTCTCTTGTGTCTCAATGATTTTGAGCTGTAAGGGCATTCACGTAATAGGAATTTCCATTTGATTGAATATAATTATTTTTCACTGGGATTTCTTTATATATGTATTGCCACAAAAACTGAATACTGTCCACTGCGTAAATATCGGGTCATTACCTCAAATGGCAAAGCACAATCGTGATTACAGGACTATGTCATCAAAAATAACCTGGAAAACATGAGGATTACAAAAAAAACCTTCAGGCTTTCGAAATTTCAGAAAAAAAAGCTGAGACGTTTGTTTAATATTTATAAAGATGTATATGTTAGTTTGAGAATTGATATTGGGTTCCAGTAAAGGTTATTATTTGTTTTCAGAAAGTTTTATCATTAAAATAGAAGGATCTGTATGATTTTGTTTTCACTCTGTCATTATAGAGTGTTTTGTGTGACACAAAATCCCAATTAAATACATTGAGTCCATGTTGTAAAACAAATAAAATGTGAAAAGGTCAGAGGGGTGAATTCTTTGATAGTCACTGTATGTTTGCAGTGGACTCTGTAAATGACAAGTACTATCATGCAGGTGCACTAAGATGGAATGCAAAATCTATAAAACTCACCACAAAATCAGGAAATGCAGAGAAAGGGGATTTTTTATATGTAGCCCCAATTACTAATGTTTACAGAGGCACAACTTCAGTTTCATAATTTGCATAATTACATTTTCCTCACCTTTATCAAACAGATGACCATTTATCAGGGTGTTGTTCACCGATTCGTCCCCAAGCCAAATTCAGAACCAGCGAAGAGATCAAACAGAAGTGAAACAGCAAGGACAAAAGTGTCCCCCTACTTCTTGAGGTGTGAATTTTAGGAAAGGTGTCAGAATACAGTAAAAACTTCTACTTTTGTATATTTGTTTTGGATACCCAGTTTTGTGTTCCCTATTTTTGTCCAAGCATAGTGCAGGCTCGTGCTGCGTTTTATAATCAGGATAGCTTAGCATAGATCCCAACCAGATTTCCTCAATAGCCAACAGAAACTCCTGGGCAGAGTTTGCAAGGAAAGTGAATGGGAGGGAGTAGGAGGAATTAACTAGAGCAGGCTTTCAGATGTTGCCAACGGATCAGACTTTGTCAGAATGTGAGGTTATGTAACTATTCTCTCTAACTACTTCCTCTTCCCTGTATTGACTGTTTGTCCTTTGTCGGTGCATTTTGCATCTACTTAAATTAATTAATTAATATATAGTATTTGGCAACAATGGCAGAACATTGTGATACATCATTTTTGTGGTTTTAGTTTGTGTATGTAAGATTAAATAAACAGATTCATTTTAGTCTGGCTATTTTTTCTCTACAACATTACCGTCCTAAATAATAAAAAAAGACATACCAGCAGGTTAATTGGCTTGTGGGGAAATTGTGGGATGGACTGGCATCCTGTCCAGGGTGTACCCTGCCTTGTGCTTGCCGCTTGCAAGGATAGGCTCCGGCTCTCCTGCCCCCTTGAACTGGAACAAGTGGTTAGAAAATGGGTGGATGAATGTGGTTTTATGATGCTGTGACAATATCTCATGGCCTTGTAGTGTTGCCGCAGTGTTTTTGTACCAATGTGACTATGTGGCCATCTGACTAACATTTTTCAATCTTGTTTTGTAGAGAACATATACCCTGGATCTTTCAGTTTTTGCAGTGCTGTATTTTTCTGCTGTCACAATGCTGTCAGAATTGTTGCAATGTGGCCGCAACAGTATTTGGTTAAGTTGGAGGTGTTTAGAACAAGGCGAGCTCTTGTGTATAGCCTGTTTATGTTCTTATACTGTATACTTAGACCATGAATTCTTTAATAAAATCAAAGATGTGGATGCGATTATTTTGCAAGAGATCTGAAGCTGTTCAGACATGTCCATTCAGTGCTCCTCAGGCTACAGGAGTTCAGAGCATCCAGCCTAGAACAGATTGTAATCAGACATGAGAGACTTTATAATAGTGTGCAGTGTGGTACAGAGGGGTCTCCCTCACAGCTTAACTCCAGGACTGCAGACTGATTTCTGTCTGCACGCTACATGACCCCCTCTGAATAACTGTGTTAAAATGTCAATACTCTTCATTATCTCCACAGATCTGCCATCATTTCAGGCCCAATGCCTGAGTTGTTTAGCACACAGTGGAAAAATCACACTTTTGGACAGTCCCCTTTATACCACACACAGGAAAGATCACACTTGTCGTAAGAGGATGGGAATCGTTTGTGCATTTCGGCAAGGCACATCATTAATGACAGGGTCATATGTCAGCTGTTAAAGGAAGCAGCCTGGATCCTTCTTCAATTAATATTTATATGCAACACCTCTTTTTGAGTTCACAGTTAAATCAATTCTCTTATGAAACTACGAAATCAAACACAATTACCAGTCGTGTTTCAGGCTGCAACCACATCCGACATATTCATTTGTAGATCATGTGTTTGCCATGAATGACTTTTATCAGGCTCTGTCGGAGAGCTGGAGTCGAGACAGGCTGATGTGCAAGCTCTCTTTAAGGAAAAAAAAAAAAAGATTTTCTCTTTGAAATGATCACTATGTCTATCCGGACTACCTAGTCCACAAGCTTCAGTATGTGTTTTTTTTTTTCGCCGCAGCCAGATATGAAACGAGAAGAAGAAGAAGATCTTCACCTTTCCGATGTCACCTCCTCGTCGCGAAGTAGATCTTGTAATTTTGTAGTTCTCACCGCTTGTTAGGCGCCGTGCGTTTGCGCAGCTGAAGTGTGCTTCCTTCACCTCTCGAGTGTTTGAATGGTTATTTTTATAAACGCCGCGGGGGGGCGCTGTGTCTGGAGCTCGCTGCTTGCCGGCCCCGTGTCGCTGCTCTTGTCTGGCTGGTCTGCGCGTCGTTGTCAGGCTGTAGTAACGGCTGCACTTGGGATGAAAGGTGCTTGAATGTTTGGCGGTGGGGTGACCGCCGACTCAAACGATATGTTTTTATGAGTCCAGCAGTTGTACACGTTGTATCGGTAACTCTTGGTGACGAAGTTGGCATCGGGAGGGGGACAAAATCGTAGGAACAGGTACGGTGCCGCTTTTGAAACGGATTGTTTTTCCAAAATAACCTTACGGTACGTTGTTGTTTTTATCTGGTTCTTTGTAATATTGCAAGCACTGGGAAGACCTTTACAGCTTCTCTCTGGTGCCTTGATCGGATCTGTGTCACGGATTTGTAAAATGAAAGATGACTTCATCAACAATCAGTCTGTTTTATGATCAATACAATTTAGGTCTGATAACCTCATCGTAGTGTCCACCTGTATTACGTTTTTGTCAACCTTTAGACACTTTCTTAAAAAAAAAACTCTTAGATACCTTTTCATCATTTATGGTCTTGGGATGCTTTTGGTAATTATTTCAGCTATTAAGGGTGAGTTGTAAAATGCTCCTTTAGAAATTGTAAAGCGATTTTAGTACAACTAGTTGTATAGTTGATAGTCGGAGGTTTTATCATCTGTGTTTCATTAAATATTCCTATTTATTCCGTTGAAGACCGGGGGAATGACGATTTCTTGCCCATTTTCACTTACGAGACTGTGAAACACAGCTGCGATAACTACTTTGTGTTGTCTCCGACTTGTAGGAGATGGAGGATATCGATTTTACAGAAGACGAAATTGAACAGCAGTTGGCCGTATTGGGATATAGTAATATTCCACGACACAGACTCCGGGAATTCAAACAAGGTATGATAATAATAATTCGTGGACCTGAACTCATTGCTTCAGGAATTATTTAGTGATCTGAGCTCCTTCTTCCTTGAGTTTGCTGGTGCAAACCTTTTCACCCCAGTCACTCAAAATCCCTCTGCGGATTTGAAAAGGCTGTGTCAGGGGTGTCCAGTCCAGTCCAGGTCCTGGAGGGCCAGTGTGTCTGCAGGTTTTCTATGGCTCTTTTAAGCAGCAGCCTTTGCAGAGCTGGTATCTCATTTTAATTGGTCAATTTGCAGACATTTTAGGATTTTAAGTGCTTGTGTTTTTTTTAAGCAGCATATAAAATGAAATCGTTTTTCAGACTTTGAACAGAAACAAAAATGCGTTAGGGAGTAATGTCAAACTTCATATTTGCAATTTTAACCTTTTTTTATCTAGATCTTGAACAGCTGATCCGACATGAGAGATCAAAGAGCCAGACGTCAAGTGGAAGAGACACACCTCAGTCTCACAGCAGTGCCTACGGTAAATAAGCACACCACATGATGAAAGACACGCAAATCAACAGCACGTGCTACTGCCTTAATTTGCAAGTGAGCGGAACATAGTGCTTTTAAAAATGGAAAAGCATCATTATTGATTAAGTGTCAAGAGTTTGAATGATAAATAACAGTCAGAAGTGTCTAACTATGAAGTTAAAATATTTGAAAATGTTGCTTAAAACTTAAGTTTCTCACTTTTTTTGGCTAATAGGTTCAGCGGGAATATGTTTCTAACATAACTGCCTCTCTTCCTTTTTCTGTGATGGTCTGGTAGTTAATTCTTAATCATTTGAGGTATTGGTTTTAAAATTCTACTGAACATTTAATAGGCTAATAAATAAACAGCAGGATACTTGCTGCCCTGTTTGAGAGGAAAGTCCCCTGATTATTTGTTTTTGTCTTTTTCTTTTAGCTTCCCAAGCTGAGGCGATGTATAAGAGACTATGTGCTCAGGACAGATTACCCCAGCCACAGAAACGGGTAAGACTCAGGGACTTAAGCAGGAACAGGTTCCTTTGAAAAAGCAGGAACACTGAACTTGTTTGCTTGTTTACACTGAGCCCGGAGCCAAACCGAAGAGGAACTCTGGAAGAGGTGGCTGGAGAGCAGGGTCTAGTTTGCCTTCTAAACTTAAATTTGAAGAAACCAAAGGTCTTGGTTTGTTGGCAAATATGGAAAGAACTGTATGGTGACTGCTTCAGGAGAAAGGTTTTACTGATATTCTAGCAAATACATTCCACACCACATTCCAGGGTAACGCGCTGGGACAAGCATATGTTGGGGAAAATAAATGTTATTAACAAACCAAATAAAATGAATGTAGAAGGTTTCGCGAGAGTGCTTGAAATAAAATGAAAGTATGGAGCCAGCCTAAACAGTACAGCTACATCTATGAGGGCCTTTTAAGGTAATAGATCCACTTTTGGAGCCCTGAGATTAGACAAGAAAAGATGCAGTGGGAATATCTTCAACACCTTGGCACTCCGCTATCGGTGCGTACGAGTGTGGAAGCCTTTTCCAAGGACTGAGAGTCAGTCCTGCTTTCTGTGGCGTACAAAAGTTGTTGCACTCTCTAATGTGATCCTAAACGGTTGAAAACTGTGAAGTGGAGTCAGATATTGTGTAGAAGAGGAGAGTAGTGTTGATCAAAAGTGTATTCCCATTTTGTGGTGGCATTCCTGTGAAAAATATGAAATTGTTCATGCCGGCATTCATGAGTGCAGCGGTGATAACTATTCCTCCTGTCCAGATCAGGAACTGAGTGATTTCTGTTTGGTTTGACATCTGAAGGCTTCTTTCTATGGTGATCATAAAGAACTGGTTAGAATGGTAACCTGTGGGTGTAATAAAAGGTGATACAGAGTCCGTGTAGAACTGTTTTATGTATCAGATTCTAGGACATTATTCACTCTCAGACAAAACATGGCCTTTGTTAGCTGAGTACTGTAAAACTTCATGAGTGTGGTCACCTAACGTCAGGTTAAAGATTTGTTTTCTTTCAGTCTTATCTTTGAAAAGGGCATAGTCTTTGGTTGAGATTTATAATGATATGAATGAGCTTCTTAAGTGCTAAAATAAAGATTTTACTCTTTTGTTCAGTCTGTCTTAAAACTATATGTATAAAATGTTTAGGTTACAATGTTTTGGATGTATGTTTCCGTTCAATAAATTACAAATAGTATTTTGTACACTTGAAGGTATGCCTGATAAAATGTTTAAAAAGATGATGATCTTCTGAGAATTTTCTGTTTGCATTAAGAAAAACCTCTTATTTCTTATCAGGTACCATTTTCTGAATATGGAATGGAGAACCAGAACAACATTCAGCAGTGTGAGCCTTACATTCGATATTCTGTGGCACCAAAATTATCATGGCCTGCTTCTGCCCCCTACAGGCCTGACATAGGAATTAGCCCTCACAATTCTAGCAATTCAGCATCAGATACCAGTAGATCAGCAGGTCTTGCAACACAGCCAGGTGATCATGGAAAACCTGTGTTGAAGAGGAAAGTTCTAAGGTATGTTGCTGCAACATTTCTTGTGTGAAAGCTGAGACCAGTATTTCCAAATTGTTTTTTCCTCATTTATTACATTACAGCATGTTTGTACCCTTCAGGAAACAGAGAGGCCAGGTCCATGTTTTTGACGAATCAACAGAAAGCAGAGCTGATTCAGGTATCCAGAATTTTTTTCACTGCTCCGTATTTTGTGAGAGAAATTGGGCATTTATCTATTATATATTGCATTGAATCTAGCCCAGTAAATCTCTTCTGCTATTTGTTCTTTATGCCATTACATACTGTATATTGGGTTAATTGTGAAACGTTGAGATAGCAAACATTGACTTCAAGATCGTAGGGTCTATTAATTGACAAGTTAACGAGGAGAATCTGCTTCTATGGGTTAACACTATAAGCCCCTGGGGACAGCTTTGCCTTTAACAAATATGCATCCCCCTTCCTGAAAATGAGCTAATCCTCTTAGCAGTTCAGCAGCACTTGGTTCACCCATCTGCTGCAGCCGGTCACATAGGCAAGGTGAAAAGCACGATGTATAGAATGTATGACAACTACTGCCAAGAAGAAAGTGATGAGGAAAACTGCTCCTTGTCCTCTTCCTTTTGGTCGGACAAATCCAGTGATGAAGAGCGTGAATGTTTTGAAGAGGGTCTGAAGGTGGACCCTGATCCTAGATGCCATATCAGGACTGAAAAGTCTATGAAGGAGGAGGGTGTGGAAGCAAGCCCAGAAGTGAAAGGGAATTTTCAGCATGATGAAGGGGACACGGTCTGTCCAGAAACTCCAGCGAGCGAGCCGACGTCTGGCTATGGAACACACAGGCCGGACTCGGAGGGGGGCTATGAGAATGAGGCCTCATGGGACAAGTTGGACCAGAATAGTCAGGTTTCCCATGAGAAAGGCTGTTGGGAGGAAAATATTCCTGAAAGAGAGAAAGTTGAGGAATCGGGGGATTTGGAGAATCCTTCTTGTGTGGGGAACCTGGGCAGTTGTAAGACAGAGGACTTGGATTATGAGTCTGAAGAAGAAGCCATGTTGTTTGAAAAACAGGATAGCAAGAATGAATATGATAAAGGTATTCTTTAGGTCTTATAAAATTTAATGTTTTTCCCATTCTTTTGTTCAAGCCCCAAACAAATGTATACACTTCTTGAATGATACTTTAAGCAAATGTAAGCAACTGATTTTTGTAATTTTCCTTCACTGCTGCAAGTAAAAAAAAAAGTATTTTAAGATTTTGTTCTAAAGAATGCATACATATGTATAAATTAACTTAGATTCAAATGCAAAAACCTTTCTAGCAAATAAGTTACTGTGGTGTAAAGTGTATTGTTTGTTTTTGTTCAGCAGTGGATGTTGGTAAACTTGAGGAAGAACTAGACAGACTTCAGCTGTGTTCAGATGAGCTGGACTCTGAGGTGGACAGTGAAGAGACCAGCAGCCTGAGTGACAAAACCAGCTCTGAGGCAGAAAGGGTTTCCTCTGCTTTCCAAGTGTACAGACGAGACTTTGTAAGTGATTATTAATGCAGCAGTGCCTACACCTTTTCTATGTGTTGAAAATTACCAAGTAAAAAACTTCAACTTTTTCTTCCATAGCGGAGATCAGCGAGTGAGAATGATATTCTGAGTCACCCCAAGTCTTGTAAGTAAGCTCATGATTAAAATATCAGTTATACTTGTCTAGCATCATATATTTAGAAATGTATATTTCTTTCAGTTATCCGACCACAAATGAATCACCCTCACACAAGAAATCTGAAGAAAACAGATCCCGTCTCAAAGTAAGTGATTTTGGAATCCATCCATTTTCTAACAGTTTCATCCGATATAGGATTGTGGGGCAGCTGGAGCGTATCCCACCAAACAACAGGCACAAGGCAGGGTACACCCTGGATGGGACACGAGTCCATTTGGACACACACAATTACAAATACAGGGCCAAGGACCAGTATATCCTTGGACTGTGAGAAGAAACTGGACCCCCTGGAGGAAACCCACGTGACCGTGAGGAGAACATGAAAAACTCCATAGTGTAGCAGGTGACATGCCAGGAACACAGGGCCCCAGTGTTGCAAGGCAGAATTCTCACTGCTGTGCCACCCCATTTTAAACATCTTTGAGGTTTATTGCATTAATCTTTTACAATGTTCAGTCGTGTTTGATAATGAAAAGTTAGTTGCTTTTAAACAAGTGGTACACTTAAAATGAGGTATTTGTATGTTTTAATATACATATACATTTCTAAATATCAGTGCCTTCTATCTCCATGAATGTTACTGGTTTGTTTTGTTGTCTTCATGTTAAACAACATAAAGAGTTTCAGAACTGTTAAGACCCTTTATCATAAAGTCTTATACTGGTTCACCAAAAACCTAAGCTTACATGAAGAGTCAGTATGTATTTGCATGGGGTTTAATTTTGTTTGGATGGGAACCGTATGTAAGAATCCACCTGAAAATGGCCTTCACATGGCTTTTTGAACTTTTTGAACTCTCAACCACAAATTCTGTAATATTGACTACTTGAAGTAAAGTAGTCTGAGGAGTACAGTACATCTTAGTCTGCAAAACCAGCACTGACTAAAAATTAATTGTTCATGAGGAAACCTAACAAAAAGAAAAACATTTCATCCTGTCTATTCCTCCTGGGAATCAAGTAATGCCACTAGGTCGCTGATCACTCACGCCAACTAAGCTATTTTCTCTGAATAAGAAAGGCAGAATCTACAGTATACCCCATGTAGCAGATCTATAGACATCTACCTAGAGGGAGAAATGTGCTGTGTTAATGTGAAATGGAACTATATTCAGATTTATTTTTGTAAATTTAAAACCTCATTTTTCTTTCTATATCGTGCACACACCTCAAGGCTCTATTTTTTAGTTTTACCAAAGCAACTTTGGATTCAGGTAAGAACTGCAAAAAACCTTTGGGGTAAAATCAGGCAAAGCTTTTCACAGCCTGAGAAGGCTTGTGCACTCCTTAACATCACATGCAGGTTCATGTTATGAAGGCTTAATATTCACAATTACATTTTGAACAAACCATTGCATTAAAACATCCTTACAATGCCTATTCCAAGCAGATTGTCAGATTTGTTTTCTGTTTCTTTCCTTTAAAGGTATTTCCAGTATAAACAAGACTGGGATACTTTCAGAGCACCTGGGGAGAAAGACCGTAAAGGACTGCGCTGGGGGATAAGGGTATGTGGATAAGTGTCTTCACATGACTGAGCCATCACTTCAAATGGAAATCTGTTCAGTAAGAAACCTAGCTCATGCCATCACAAATTTTAAACCACTTATCATGAAGTGTTTCTATGCCTTAAGATAGGACCGCCGTTTTTCCCCCATCCCCATTACTTAGGTAAGAGAGAATCCCAAACTGTTGTACTGGCACTATATTAAGTGTAGAATAACTTTTCTTTCATGGTTAAAAGAAGTTTAAATTAAAACTGCTTTATTACATATTTAAATTTCTTCTCTTCAAGGAACAAATGCTGTACAAAAGTCAAGCTCCACCTGTAAGTATGTTTTACGTCAATGGTGATTTTCATTTGATAATAAACTGTAGTTTCAAGTGACTGTTATCCTTCCGCGAGCCAGAAGAAGGCTTCATGTTCACATGTGGTTTGTCACAGCCAGCAGAGCTGTGGGCGACTTTCATTCTCAAGCAGTACTGAATTTCTTTTGATCCTAAACCTGTGAAAGCAGTAACTGTTTCTGTGCTTGAGGTTGGTCCTGAATGGCTTCTAAGAAGTTGTATAGAATATAAAAATAAACTACCGTCCTGTCCTGGGTACCCATGGTTGAATGGGTAATACTATTCACCAACAGTGATTTTGAAATTACATTCTAGTAGAGTAGTAATGTAGGAAGGGTTTTATTTTTCTTCCAGAAGCCACAGCGTATCTACGTTCCCAATACCTATGTTGTCCCAACTGAGAAGAAACGTTCAGCTCTGAGATGGGAAGTACGGCATGATTTGGCAAATGGAATACAACCTCCCAAAATATTCTATCCTTTCTAGAACACCAGGCTTGTACTGCTTTGTGCGGGAGCCTTAAATATTTTAAGTGCAATTTAAATATATTTGCATTGTTGTTGCTTTTTTTTAGTGTACGTTATTTAAATTGGGCCTTATTTTATTTTTTTAACATGCATCAGGAATGACAAATCTCTGGGGAACACATTTTAATTGAATACTGTACATACAAAATAAACATTTTTATACTTGGTCCTTTCCTTTTTTTTTTTACAGTGGAAAATCGCTATAGGGTAATTTGAAAGAATAGAGTGGTGAGAATCTGCAGTCGTGCCAGAGCAGTTTCTTCTCCAAAAAATTGACAGCATCCAGCGTCAGAACAAGGGTTTCATGTTTTAGCATGCTGTGAACATTGAGACCTGTGAAAATAAGACAGGCGGTTTACATAACCACAGGTATTTCCTGACGCGAACCAAGTTAAAGGTTTGTGTTTACCCAGTCTAAACCCCAGTTTCATACCTATTACTGGAATCACATTCACAGTTTTCAGATCTGCAGTTGCCTTGAGAATGTTTCCAGGAAGGTCTTCTTTCCTGTTGTAAAAAAACAGGAAGTTTGTCATTCTGAAAGTCTGTACATTTTTATATGCATCTGTAACACTGCTCAGGCAATGACCTTAACTGTCTGCTACTGAAATACTGATACATGCCACAAGTTCAAGATTAACTTCCTAAATGCACTACTTGCTGTAGTACCTTCCAAGGTTCTAAGCAGGTAAATCTAGAAGTATATCCAGAATTCTGCAGCTTGAGTGCGAACTACATAAATTGCACTAGCTTCCAATTAAAAGGAGTGGTCTTTAAAGCACTAGCTGTAGGTTATCATACGGGCTTATTATATAAACATAATCCAGCCATTCAAAAGAGATCTGCCAATTCAATCCTAATCCTGCTGAAGACCAGGTTCCACCCAGCGGATGGTAATGCCTTCTCTTGTGCTGCACCACACGTGAAAAATAATTCAGAAATCCATTGAGACGCAACGTACTGTACATTGTCTGCTATTGTTTACATCTTTCTATGCCTTCTCTTATGTGTATTACATGCATATACTGTAGCACAGCACCGATGTTTCTAAAAGCTGGGTTTATTAACATATACACTGAATACGTACACATCTACAATCAGAACTGAATCCCCCCAGTTCCTGTATCTGGCCAAATCCAAAAGATACTGGGAATCTGGAGCAGGCATCTCTAGAGAGTCTACGACATGAAGGTAATCCTGAAGAAAAAAAAAAGAAAAACTTGGAACACATACTAGGTCGACTGATACGACTGTTCTGGAAAGGACAGAAATGCCACAAGCATTGTGCATTTTTTTTTCATTTTGAAAAACATTTTATGGCAGTGAAAAGCTGCATATTCATTCAGAAAATGCCTTACAATCTGTTTTGTATAGAAGAAAAGTGCGATTTTTAAGTCTAATGTGGTTTTATTTTGGAAGTGAAATGCTTACCTGAGCAAGTTTCGCACTGAGAGCCACCTTCAAGGCCAAGACGCGCACTTTCATCGGCAGCATGTAGTAGTAACTGGTGGGTCCCCGAGGCCCGTGTGCAATCCCACCTGCACATGCAGCACAAAGAAGTCGCCTTTTACATGAGGGCTGGTGTGTGTGGCACATGCCTCCAGTTCACACTCGTGCGAAAGGGGTTACCCAGCAGAATGAAAATGAATAATGAGGATCCCAAGTGCTCCAGCTCGCCGAGTGCAGAATTAGTGCAGTGATCACAGGTTCTAGCCCTGGTCACATCACTAACCGACTATGGGGAATCCTCAATTCGGCTACAGGCCGTTGAGGGTAGGGCAGGGTCAGTCTGCAGTGCACTCCAGCTGCTGGTGATAGGGCGCCCCCTACAGCCTCCTGGGTGCTCTAGATGGGCAGGGCGGGGAGGTGTGTGTGTGTGTGCATTTACAGACTTTGCAGCTGTGGGCCGAGATATGCTGAACCACACAACGGGCAGGTGGATGCAGCACGCACAGTAACAGGCGAGCAGGAGAAACGGCGCACCGGAACAAACTGATCCCACCTCCTCTCCACAAGGGCGACCTGATGCTGCCCTGGCGGGCTCTGCCACTCCCTTTCTGTTTCCATGGCTTCCGGCCGCCCCCGCTCACCTCCGCCCGGCTCTTCACCTTGGCATGGCTCTAAAAGAGCAGAAAAGACCACTGTCCTCAGAAGAGGCCCCTGGGTGTCGTGGAACTGACAGTACATCACTGTTTCTCCCACTGTGCCTCTCCAGTAGCAGGTACACTCTTCCACGATGGCCGAGTGCGGAAAACACACCGAGCCCACGGCACTCACAGCCAGACATCATTACAGAAGTTCACCTTGAGATCACGTTGCATCTTCGCTTTAGATCTACTTACGATTCTCTTGAAATTTCTCTGCCAGACTTCAACTTCGTGCAGTATATCAACCCTAAAAAAAGATTACAAATTAACATGACAAAAAGTACACATCCCAAGACTCATCCTGAGATCATAAGAGAAGAATCATAATTTAAAACAACTGAAATTTCAACATTTGATGCTCTGGATAAAGCCCTTCCTACTACTTAAGAATGTCAGCACAATGCCTTAACATGCAAGTATTTTATAGGATATGAAAAATGCACAATAAAAAACAGAAAGATAAAGGAGTACTCTGGCACTTGAAAAAGATACAAACTAAAAAGTAGAAGCATTGCAAAAACTATGATGTGAAAGACAAAAATACATTTTGTAGGGCATATTATTAAAAATTACTTCTGCAATTGTTTCCTGCACATGCTATAACTGAATTATTTTTATTAATGCGTTTTAATGAGTACAAAAATACAAAAACAGTCATCCATTTTTAAACTGCTGCGCATTTGCTGAGCTTTCCCTCTGCAAGGTGACAGAAGCACACCTCTGACAAAGTACTTTAAAAACATTTGGATGTTTCTTCTAGACCAGTAGTTCAGATTAACCACCTCAGTTTAACATGAGATCCCCTTTCTGGGAGTGAGAAACATGCCAGATATTTTTAGAAGGTAAATCATCAAGCCCAGACTCGTAAGTACAACTACTTTGTTTCCTCAAACCTTGGTATTTTAAGGTAAAGTTATAAGGAGTGTGAGAACATATTTTGAGAACCAACAGGGTGCAGCTGCAGTCAAGGGTAAGAACCACGTTTCTAGCCCTTTACCACCCTGGAAAACAGCTTCGCGGACACTTGTGAACTCTAATGCGGATTTTTATCTGCCAGTGAGCCAGCACACACGAGCAGCATCAGTCGATCTTAAATGCTGCAGCCGGCACACGTCTCCCTGGCCAGCGATAAGAGAGCGCTACCGCAGCGCAGACGCGAGGCGCGATGGAAATCGCACAGGTATACACGGGCGGACCTGGGAGGCACGGCGAAGACATCCGGGTGCAGCTCAGCCAGGCCCAGCTGGTCGTCCTCAGGGCCGCGCAGGGACCCCAGCCACGTCCGCACAGGGCGGAGGTGAGCGGGAATCTCCACCTCGCTCCTCCGCAGCACCGGCAGCTCCGAGCCCACAGGGGGGGGCCGCTCTGGAACAGAGAGAGGCAGAGACAGTCACACCGCAGGGGCATCGCGCACTTGTCCTTTACTGGCAGAGCACCCCGTTCTGTTCCTTTACCTTGTGCTGGTCATGTAGAACTCCTAGAGCACTTTACAAATATTTATATTGTAAAGTCACAGATTACAATCGCTAGTTACCCTCATTATTTTTAAACGATTAAGTTATTTAAATAACGTGACAAAATTAACACTGCCAGCTCATTAAGACTGAAAACACGAGATCCAAGTTTCCTAAAACACAGAAAAGATGTGACCAGTTTTACTAACGCTGGTCATCGGTTGTTTTAAATGGAGCACATGAGTGTCCGACTGTCATAAGCATCAGTGTTCAGAGTCGGATGCCTACTTGTATGGGGGAGTTCTATCAAATTCGAAGGAATCAGCAGATTTTTGGGAAGTCCATGGTCTCCTGAGATAGATGACGCAAACTAGACAGAAAACAGAACAAATCAGAAATGTTATTAAGCACATTTACAATAAATAAAGGACTGACCAGTATAACGGAAGTACAGAGACTTAAAAAGTCACAAATCACAAGAGTGGAATGAAAATAGTTTTTTTTAAAATAGATATAAGCATAGATTCAACACTTGATATAGAGTGCCCATTAAAGGTACTTTAAATGACACATATATAGTTGATAAAACATGTCAGTGATGTTTAGAACAAATTCATTTTAAAAAACACTACAAAATGTACAGATATAATCTCACTGAAGCGGATGAAAGGCAATATATAATAAAGGCAGAAATATAATAAATATCCAAACGTACATTTGCATTAATAAGCAATGCAGTAATATATACAGTGTAAACAGAAAAATATTAATACAAATAAAATACCACTGCACTGCAACATTTCAAACGTAACTGGGATGTTTAGACAACAGTAAATTTTATGAACGGCTACAAGCAGTACGCTGATCCGATTTTGAAGAACTGCAGCGCTCACAACAGATGCCAGTTTAAAAAAATGTCGCAGCAGAACTTACCCTCTTGCCAATCTCTCTACAACACACAGCAGCATAAATACGTAACATGCTCGTTATCTGCTTAAAATATTCAATACACCATCAGCTCATATACTGCACAAGCTAGATTTTTTAAAGAAGGTCAACCATACATGCGTGGGTTATACAGATACTTCCGTCCCTCAATTATGACGTTCGAGCTTGCGGGCAACCATTCTTTTTAATTGTACTACATTGCCACCTTGTGGCCAGGAGAAGTATAGAGTACAGTACTTATTGAATTGAACCCTGCGCGCTTTCCCAAATATAACTAAAACTCACCTAACCTCAGACCTGTGTAAATGGTGTGTCACACTTCTTACTGGAGGGACGGTGCCCGCGGAGTGAGTGTGAAATGCGACGCTGACGTGTAGACTGAGAGGACACAGGAGCTGCTCTGCTCCTGGGAAAACAAGGCCGTGCATAAGGAACCCCGTAACATACTGTACGGTTATTAAACAAGGTTGCAAGTAGCTGTTTGTTCGGGGGTTTTCTTTTTTGGGTTCCACCACCTTGGTTGGGCGGTTTTTTTCGGCTTCCATTCTTTCGGCCCTGAGTCTTCAGCCTCCAATTTCTGTCGGGAAAGGCTGGCTTCTGGCCAGTGGGCCACAACTCCTACGTGTGTCCCCTTTATCTTCTTAATTTGAGTAGACCTTTACACTTCAATTAAAGTTTTTTGCAAGCAGATTCTTAATGAATGGCTGCACGGCACATAACATGAACTCAGTTTGCAACTTGTGGTTCCTTTTCGATTCACACCAACAACTTTCTTTTGGAAGTTTCAACCAACCATGAATCTGAAAAACTCAAACCATATTAATGACTATTTTATTGCATCAAAACAGTGCAAAAGCCGATTGATGATTGATGACTTTTGAGTGAGCTGGTAAATTTCATGCCACATTCTGTCATATGTCTAGTCATGTGTTCTATTATAGAGATCTAACGTGAGAAGACATGAGTGTTATATGGAAGGTATTGTACGTTGTGTTATATTTAAATTGCCATTTTCATAGCAGTCCGGTGGTATTCCTCATATAAAAAGATTTTTGTGAAAGACCCACAGGATTAAAAGGGTAAAACAGAACCGTCTGCTTAGTCAGTTTTTTGTTTTAACGAAAATGATCCCGTCTGTATAAGGAAATACTATACTGTCATTGAGGCAAGACAGGTCTTCGCAGACACTGTAATAACATAATCTGCCACCAGAAGCCGCCAAAACCACTCTAACCCTTGAAATTCGGTTGACCAGGTGGTGATTATTTAAATTCTCGACATTGGCGAGAGTTCGCACTTAACCAATTCCACCCCTATACCGTCGCGTAATGTACTGCAGGATATTGTATGAATGGCTATAAGACATAAGTGACCCTACCTGGTATAACAATTAAAGTACTGTAACGAATAGCTCCTGCACATACAGTAACAGGGATCATGGCTTCTCGGGCTGAGGAAGGTCTTCTTTAGCTCAGTTGGCAAGAGCACTGTTGGGCGACATTGGAGACCCGGGTTCGAGCCCATGTGGTAGAGTGACGAGCTGGGGCAGGATGCGGCAAGGGCATGAGCCCGAGAACCCCAACCCGTTACGGTACTAATGCTTTGGGTTATTTAAAATAATATCGATCAATAAAAACTAACTGCAACAGTAATAAAAACTTATAGTAACCAGCAAAAACGAACAAACAACATGAATCCCTCCCCCGAGTCAAGAGGATGCCTGCACTTTCTCTCTCTGCCTCCAGGATTAGCACGTCCCACTGTAATGAAAAGGGCAGTAAACCTGTCAGTGAGCTTGTGTCTCCAGCCTGTCATTCCCCACACTGCTGACACAGACCCTGGAGTGTTTGTTACAGTACAGAAACAGGACCGCGCTGAGGCGCGGGTGCTGGGTAGGGGGTACGAGGACAGGGGGCAGGGGGCAGGGGGAGGCTCACGCACTAGCTAGATGCATCTCACAATCCTGGTCTGTTGAGCAGCTAATTTAGAAATTGTACTTAACGACCTTCAGCTTTGTTTAATCCCACTCTGCTCTTCTTTCAGGGTGAAGGGTTAGAGAATGCAGATTTTGATTTCAGGTCAATAAGTGGTGTTGATGTATTAAAAAAGCAGAAATGGCGTGTTTTGGGGAAGAGTTTAGTAATACTAGAGGGCTTCTCTTTCAAGTGTCTCCAGAGTGTAAAACCTGCTGTGAACTCTGCAGGAAGGTCTCTAAGCAGACATGCCACATTAACAGAGTTAGGCATTAAACACATTCAAATTTACAGAAGTCTTTAATTTACATAGCACCTTTCATTGTAACATCATCTTTACAAACAAAGCCAAAAGATCAGGATCACATAAAATCGATATTTTATAGAGTAAATTTAACAGCACTAAATACAATTGTATACTGTAGTTCAAGGCAGGACTTTCAAATTCCTAGATGGCTTCGTGTCTTCTGGTTTTTATTTCAATCTGCGTTGTTAGTTAACCCCAAGTATTTCCTTACGTTTTTACATATATAGGATGTTTCTACTTTTACAGTAGATAACTCAAACCAATTGATGAAGAGCACAGTTATCTGTAAAAACACTTTGGAACCAGTGAAAATATAACAGTCATGTCGTTAATTTATTAATTAAACTGACTATGTAACTGACAAAAGCTAGAAGACATTAGGCCCTCGAGGAAATATGTTTGAGACCCCTAGTTTAACTCAAGATCCTAGCAGCGATCTGAACATATTACAAATGAAGAACATGTTCAAATAATTTATATCACATAAAATGTAACACATAAAGACACTTAAAGAATGGGACTGAAAACAGAGGCCTGTAGGACCCCACATGAGACCAGTTTCATTAAGGAGGACCTTTTATCAGTAGATCAGATTTAAACCACATTTAAAAGAAGTCCCAGTAATACCTGCAGCTCACTCAAATCTGTTCAGCAAACTGGTACTAACTACAGTATGAAAAACAGCAAAGCTCCAGCAGCCCAAGAATGGGATACTTCAGAGTCCATAATTATTATTAAATATGTTTTACATCAGCTGTGACCCTGACAAGAGCTGTTTCAGAACTACTGTACACATCAGTCTGAACCCAGAGTTTCACAAAGTTTATTTGCAAATTAATTATCCCGTAACTAAACAGCTACGTCTGTTTTGGAACCTTTGCCAAAAATGTTAGGTTAGATATCAGCCAATAGCTGCTGAGCAGGTGTGAGTGTAAGTTCTGCTTTTAAACCAGATGGACAAGAGCTGAAATTTTAAGGACAGAGGGAATGAGAGACAGAGAATAGCAAAATTTAAGCAGAGCAAAACAATTTGCAGGATTCAAGGGGCATATAACAGCTTTTCATTTTAGTGGTCATTGCAGATATGAATGAAAAGAGACTGTAACTCTTCAAACATGTAAATACATAAACTGTGCCCCAGAGGAGAATCACAAGGCACAATCTGACTCCTGATGTTATTAGTATGGTAGTGAAAAATGTCAAAAAATCGATTGCCTCGCTCTGTAGACTATTTAAGGGTTGTGCCCTGAAGTGGATTTTAGAGACGATGAGTTGTGAAAAAATGTCTTTTTAGGATAACTTTCCCCATCTTCCTTTAGCTTCTCAATTAGTAGCTGACAGTGTATCATTAAAAAAGTCTATAAATCAGCAGGATAAAAAAAGAGAAAACACAGTGTTCCACCGTGGAACCTCTCCTAGGCGAGACGTCAGGGCTCAGGAAGCTGGTAGTTGCTGGGGTGGAAGCCTTCTCTTAACTGTCCAAAACAACTTAACACCACATCCACCGCCGCACTCACAGTGGAGCTCACTTCTTCCTCCGTCTTTCCCCTGTCAGGATTGACTTCTACGACATCCAGCGCAGACAGCAGACCTGCGCAGAAAATACATTTAACATTATAGCACATTGTAAGATACTGTATACATACAGAATTATATACGGTATAGACATACTGATTCACACAGAGACATGCAACTTTTAGGTCCTAGGGATTTAATTAAATATTGCAAGCAGATACTCATACAAATTCTGTTGACGTGCAAAAGGATAAAAGAATTACAACAGTTTATCAGTACTTAAGGTAAAAAAAAAGAATAATTTTCCATTTTAGTATTGACTTCAAACCTGGCCGTGTTGATGCCCAGACCTGATCAGCCTCTCACTAGACTGCTGTGGGCTGTTCCACCAAAGCAATGCACTAGACCGTGAAGGTGAACCTGTATGTCAGATGTCATCTAGTGTCTCAGGCACTCTTTCAACTGCTATATTACTGTACACAACAAGCTATTTAAATAACCAAACTCAAGTTTCTATACAAGCCCATTTACTGAACCACCTCTGGTGATAACATGTCTTGAACTTGAACTTGAAGTGCACATATATCTATAACAAAGCTGTGCCTTAGCCTTCAGGTCTAATTAATTCAGATTCTTTGAGAGTCAAAAGTGGCTCAAAATGTAAAAGCGCATGCCTGAGGGCAAGGCTTGAGTGCTTTTAAGGGCAGGGTTGTGATTAATCTGCATGGGCTCTCTCGTCACCTAGAGACAGAGTGACCCCTGTGATCACCGGGAACCGTGCAGGCTTGTGGTGCTGTCGGCAAGGAGCGTGCCTCTCCTCCAGCTGGCCCTGAACGTCCTACATATGTGGCAGTGTAGCCTGTGATGTGTGAAAAGGCCAATGGAATGTGGGCTGGCGGGAGTCCTCTAACATTTTGTATTCTCCTCGTGTGAGGTCACAGGGTTTGTAGCTGTGAGCCGGGACACTGAAGCACAGTCTCATCACGTCCACACTGGGTGGGGTAAATTGCAAAATAATTTAAAAAGCGTGGCAATGTGCGTGTGGGTGAGTTTTTATACCAGTTCTACAGATTTCCTCAGCCACGTAGACGCTCTCCCTGTAGGTGAGCCCTCCTTTCACAGGTGTGCCAGTGGCAGGAGACACGGAGGGATCTATCGCATCGATGTCATAACTCAGGTGAATTGGCCTCTTCCCCCTAGGTTTATAAGGAGTTGCAAAAGAAATAGTGAAACATGGTAAGTTCACTCGATTGCTGAATTTAAAACATCCATCAAATCCAGGTTGCAGGGCAGCCAGAGCCTGTGCCGGCAAGCTACTGTATGGGCACAAGGCCATCGCAGGACACACACAGACATGCACACACTCACTCGCACCAGGCCAGCTTTCCCAGGAGCCAATAACCTACTAATTGAGAACAGATGCTTAACTCTTATTTTTTCCCCAGTGTTCAACAGACATGACAATGTGTTATGAATACACATGTATATGCTATATACATCTAAACACACTTTTAATTCATGTTCTGTATAATGTCAAAGGTCACAACTGCAGATGCTTGTTTTGTTTTGTCCTTTTCTTGAGGGCTCATCAGTGGAACACAGACCACTGTATCATAATTCATAGCGACGGCTTGCTCACAATATTCACCTTAACCCTGACAGGAGTTCCCTATAAGAAATACTGTGTGTATTGACCTGTGTACATTGCCCATACAGAAAACAACTGGACAAACATTTTTCAAGAGTTGTGATGGAAAATGAATGGCAGATAAATGGTTTTATGTAAATAAAACAGGTTTACACTGGTCTGTTATATCTGCAAAGGCAGACATGTAAAGTCATATGTAAAACCACTGCTTTGTCAGTGTAAGCTGTGAGAGAGCTGCTGGTAATTAGTCCTACACCACTAATAACTTATGCAAAAACTCTATAGCTTAATTAAAATATACTGGTGATGAAGGACAATGCTTTTTCCAGTTTTAAGAGAAAACAACACTGTATAGAATTTATTTCAAATGTTCTAAACAAAGGCTGTTTATACCCTCAATATGAAGTTCAGAGGAATTTCCATTTCCCTCAAGGAAGAAAATATCTGGAATATCTAGAAATGCACAATTTCACTAAACTGTTGTTCTGGCCCCCCAAAGTGCCCCTTTTCACGGCTCTGACTGAGGTTCCCCAACACTGGTCCTGAAGAAACTCTAAATGTACACTTATAGTTATGCACTGACAAAAGACAAAACCACTGAGGTTAGTCTGTTTTCACGGTTTCTGTTATCCATCATACTTGGAAAGGAGGTGGTCACATGCTTCCTCCATCACTCTGCCTATTCCCAGGCGGTCCACCTCTGTCATGGAGAAAGCCTTGATTCCCAGGTGCTTGATGATGTAGCTGGTTACCAAGACAGACAGGATATATTCATCTCAGCATTAAAAACATTTTTTATAGTAGTGACTCTGAACTGATTTAAGTCTTTTCATATCATGCCTAAAGACGTATGCCTAAAGACTCCAACCTTCGATTTTCTAACTGTTTTATACAAGACAGTGTCGTGAAGCCCATCCCGGCATGCAACAGGCACAAGGCAGGGTACACCCTGGACGGGACACCAGTCCATCGCAGGGCACAGACACGCACACACATTCACTCTCACCAGGGCCACTTTTCCAATTAACCAACCAGTACGTCTTTGGACTGGGGGAAGAAACATGACCACCCAGAAGAAGCCCATGCAAACACGGGGAAAACATACAAACTGCAAGCAGATAGCACCCCCACAATTGAACCCAGGGCCCAAGCACTGCGAAGCATGAATGTTAACCACTGCACGACCAAGCCACCCTGTCTTAAGACTCTTTTGCTTCATATATTGCCTCAGCGATTCATTACTTATTGTTACTACAATTGAACCATCTATCAGACTGCTTTATCCTATTCTGTTGTATATGCAAAGAACTTAAAACGTTGAATTGCAGGTGCTGAGAGGTGCCTGACGGTAAAGCTCCTGGTAATTTCCAGGAAAGACACAGTTTCACAGTGTCACTCTTCTAATCCTCACAGCACAGAGACACTCCTATACAGTATGTGCTCTGAGGAAAAGGGCAGATTCAGCATCTCCATAGACCGAGTAAGGGAAAATGAATCTGAACGCAACTGGAGAATACATTTTTCACTGGATTGTATAGCTTAAGTTCATTTTACAATCTGAACACTGTCTTTTCATTTTGATTATCTGACAACTAAAAGTTTCACAAAGACAACCCACATGCATATGCAATCGTTCTGGAACTACCACTGTTAATGAAGTCTAAAGACTGTGAGCACTGACTCTATCGTAACAGTACTGCAGAAAATGCTCAACCAGTATAAACAGCTATTCAGTGAGCAACATACTCTACAATGACCTACTGTTCTCCTGGGTCCAAATCTCTCAGGCCAATGTAGACAATATCTTGTGCTGATAAGCAGGGCTTTATCCAGGAGAATCCGGGAATAACTGGGATCTGGTACACACAAGAATATTTTTGCCAGAAAATCCCCTTCGGTAAAATGTGTGCTATTTTTGATCATATTAAATTAAACGTCTGACTGAAAAGTAGTACTGTACGTGGCGACCATGGAATCAAAACTTTAAATCATCAAGATATTTTTTTACTCCATTATTTTTTATTTTATATTCAAAACTGTCCAAAGGAAGCTAAAAGCTTTTAAATACTTTACACAGCAAATTGTGTTTGTACATTGACATCACTGTATTGTCAATGGCTCAAACCTACCTCTGTGCCCATCTGCCTGATATTAATGAGGGGACAAACTTCTAGTTACCTTGCAAGCTTAGTCTCATAAAACAGGCCTTAATTCAACTTTCATTCGGAATGAAAGAATTCTGCAAGATAAAGGCTCTACTGGCCTATAAATAGACAAAAGACACAACTAGTCTCACGGTATTATATTTGAATCCACATAAACTCCTTTTGTTGTTGGAACTTAGGCATTGCAGTATACAAGGACAGGGCTTTGTTTAAAAATCACAGCCTTGATGACTTGCAAACTGATTTCTTTTCCATGCAGCCAAAACTTAACTTAAGTGAAAACAGAGGCTGCAAAAAAGCTTTATCAATCGTCGTAAGAATCTGTAAATCTGAGTTAGACCTTGAACATGTTAAGGTTATTAACAGCACTATACTTAGAGCTATCACAAGGGACAAAACGAATGCTCTGAAGAAACGGAGGACAACAGGGGCGAAGAAAATAGAAGTGTACATTTGAGATAAAGAAAAATCACCTTTGAGTGCAGTTCCCTGAGGAGGTAGGACACAGGCTGGCCGTGAAAATTGCCCGTGGGGCTCGTCAGAGGCGTGTTAATGTCTGCATGGGCGTCAACCCAGACTACACACAAGTCTGGCCGGGCAGCTGCATGTCCATATATTGATCCTATTGCCAAACTGCAGCATAAAAAAAACAAAACATTAAATAAACTGCCAAAAAGGAGATCCCTTCTGTCCCCTAGAGGAAACACCTAAAACATTACAAACAGAATTTAAATTACATTGATAACCCAGGTCAAACACAGATTTAGCTTTTTTTTTTACCTTATACGATGATTAAGCTTTCAAATGTCTTTTTTCAGAAATACTTACAGAGGCTGGAATCATGGTAATTGTAGTTTTTCTGTGCTTTGGTCACAAAATCTTTTTAGAAATGATATTCTCGAATGAGAAAACATAGCATGATTTGCACAAGTGTTTTGGGGAATGTTGCATATAATATTGTTAAATGTTGTACTGGGAACATTTAATGCTCTGGCACATTTTCGTGATGTACTGTAGGTCTGGAAAATGACGTGAAGTACTGATAGTCACCTATGATCTCCTCCGAGCACCACACAAGTCTGGCCATTCTTCTTCACTGTTTTCACAGCATCTGCAAGCTGTTTGTTAGCACTCCCCACTGTTTTGGGCATCTTGACTCTCCCTAAGGGCTCATCATTGGGAACATCCTCAAATTTCAAGTCGCCATAATCCTTCACTTGATGGCCTTGAGGAACAGGAAGGCAGCAGTCGGCACAACAATGTCATTTCTTTACAGTTATGAAAAATGTTTCCGAATTTTCTCTTATCACCTAGATGCAGGCACCTAAAATTTATAATAAATAATATTAGAAAGGACACCAAAGTGTGGAATATATTGCAATTTTATTTGTTTTAAGAAAATATTCCACTGTGATTCGGAAAGAAATGCATGGTTTTCTCAAATATTCAGAAGTCATGGTGTCTAAGCATGCTACAAGACTCTGCACAGCAGGGACACGCTTAGGGATGACCCAGAAGTCACAGAGGAGTGTCCTTAAAGTAAGGTAAACGTAGCAAACAAAAATAACAACCAGCAGAACTTTAGGTTTAAAACTTAGCTCCTGATCTTGTGCACAGTTTACAATTTTGTCCACAGCCAGTGAGAAGAACACCAAGATGTGTTCTTAATATTTTGCCATTTGATTTCCAGCTTAGTCCTACCTGTACAGTCTCTGCCTACAAACGTCCACATCCTGTTCAGAGGAGGAGTGGGCCGAGAGCAGCTGGCTGAGCCTCTCGGCTTCCACCTCCCCAGGATTGTACAAACGCAAGAACTGCCTCAGACAGTTATTTCTGGTCTCATCTACAGCTTGCAGTTCTTTTAAAGCTGCTGTTTCATTAAAGCTTATTATAATGCATCCTTTAAAAACATTAATATCAGTGTCTTTCGCTGAACCCAGTGATTCTGATCAGGAAATACTTATTAACAGTAGTTTGCTTCCTAATAGATTTACCACAGTAAATCTGGTTAACTGTATTGCTGTGTACTTTAACTACTTCATCCTGCTTTTCAATGACTGCAGTAACGCAAGCAAAACATTTACTTTTAAAGCAAACAATATCAATAATATATTATTTAGACTCAGTTAAAACTGAGGGCAGTACTTAAGGAAGAATAATGTCTTTTGAAATCTGCTAATACTAATTTATCTGTATCAGAGAGATGCAAGATGTATTTCATGTTAGAATGAGGAGGAATGTCATTTTGCGGATTTGGTAGCTAGTAGCTCATTGAACTGAAGATCTTGTCCAATTGTTACAGACATTTTTTTAACTCTGCCAATCATCAGTTTTTCATCTTTGTGTCTGTTATTGCATCACCTTCAGGCATTAACAGAATTAGAGACATCTTAACGTTCTGCATATTTGGTGTCAGAATCACACTGGTTATAGGGTCTGTGTGAGCCTCTTATATTTTGAACACAGGCTAATCTCCAAAACAAAGCACACCCTATTGTCAGTTTTCAGTCAGTAATTTTTGTTTTAGGTTAGAATAAAGAACAAAGAACTACAGCAATAAGTTACAGAATTGTTAAATAGAATACAGAATGTTAATACTATCCAGGTGATATTTTTATCCATAGTGATATTCATATTCACGCCCATTAATACAGCTGTAATTAGATTTACTGGACAGAAGAACGGTACCTTCCTTAAGGCACAACAGCTGTGACCACACTTATTATGTGAACCAGCAACCTTCCAGTTACATGTTGAGAGCAATTCATCATCAATTTCCCTTCGGGATCAATAAAATCGTATCTATCTAGATCCCTAATCACTTCTGTGCCCTGCTGTATATTTTGCCATGTCTGGCTAGATACAGTATGTTGAAATGTGTTATTGTTGCGTTAATTTCCATAAGAACGTATTATTAATCTGGGCTAAGACCTGAACTCTTAATACAGCAGCTGTGTGGATAGCAGGGATATTTATTACTGCTCTGTTTTAACATCTTAACCCCAAGGAATTTCAACAGAATGTAGGTCATACACGGAAGGACATCACAACGCAAAAAAACTGTACTGGTTTAGATTTATTTCTGCATTTGTAACGTTTTTAGTGCCTTTAAAAAAGAAAACCTCATAAAGATGTACGGATATACAAAGGAGCAGTTTACTGGATACTGTACTACTGTGCTGTTTTGTGCGTCAGTTGCTGAAATGTCACACAGAGGATTATTTTAGGCAATCGATATAAAATAAGCTTATGACCTAACAGCGGTAGCAGGTAAACAGACTCAAGGCCAAAAGCTGCATTTATCATCTGGACATCGGAACAACTGTTTGTTTTTCTAGAACAGTTAAAATTGGCCAAAGAATGCACATTAAAATCATGTATCGAGTGTTTACAGTATTCGTCACTTATTCTTCACTGCTCTCCTCAAAAATACAACAAGAGAAATAAAGGCAGAGCTTTTCGTCGAATTAATTCTTCTTTTATTCTTTGACATTTATCAGGACATTTGAGCCCACGACGTGATTTCGCTTTTACCTTGCGCTCCAAGTTTCGCCACCAGTCGTGCTCTCCGTATGTAGTCCGGACCCTTCTCCACCCCATCCTTTCGCTTAAAAAAACACAAGGTAAAGAAATGTCTCGGATTTGTTAAGCAGCTTTAACTACACGCGAAAGAACTCCACGGAGTGGAAATAAATCCGGCACGAATCTCGGGTTAATTTTAGTTACTGTTTCGTTCTTTTTAAAAGAAACATTTGTCAACCTTTTGGTGTAATACAAGATCCACATCTTTCCTAACCTGTCCTCTTGCAAACGGTGCTCCGACAATGCCGATTGGATGGTAAAATCTGCTTTGAATCGTAAGAGCACGTCGTATTCCGGTGAAGGTTTTCTTCACAAGCATTATCCTTGACGATGATGATCTGCAAAGTCAGACGGAGGTATGTTCAGCCAGATGAGGACCGTGAAGAATTACAGCTCACACGAAACCACAGGCAAGGCGACAGGAACAACACCGGTTGTAGTTTCTGCAACAACGCCCACTATAAACGTATTCTTATTAAACGGCAAGGTCGAGCCTTTTAAGGTCCCTCAAAGTAAAAAAAAAAGTTGACGTACCGCCCCAAGCGCATCACTAGGAGGATAAGCGCTTTATTATTCAATCCTCCTGTTATGCAACATACTGTTAATCCGAGAACATCAATGGCAGCTACTAGTTCTCTTTCCTTGTACATACGTTGAGTATATACTTCACTGCATACTTTCTTATTCACTTGTATGTGCTGAAAGCGAATATTATTTCGTATTATTAGGCGTTTTTGTTTTACTAATTTCAAAAGCCGTTTCAGAGCCACTGTCCCAACCTCTGAGTGCTGCATTCACCGCACGCATAAGCAAAGGTTTAAAAAATAATCAAACTTAAAACGCAAACCAAATCATAAAACGTCAAAAAAAAAAGTTAATGTGTTGCGACTTCAGGATATAATTTGATTTATTACCTTGTTGCGGTAGGAGACACTGTTGCGTACGCGTTCTCAGAGATCCCATGATCTGCAGCCAGGTTGACCTGCATGCGTTTGCACTAGGGATCATTTTCAAGGGCGGCACAGCGGTTAGCACGGCGTTGGTGCCCTGGGGTGCAGTGTGGAGTTTAAGGTCTGTCCGTGTTCGCGTGGATTACTTTTGGGTCCTCCGGTTTCCTCCCACAGTCCAAAGACGTAGTGGTAGGTTAACTGGACTCTGGGAAAATTGGTCCTGATGTGTGTCTATGTTACCTGCAATGGACTAGCATCCCGTCCAGGGTGTGTTCTACCTTGTACCTGTTGCTTGTTGGGATAGGCTCTGGCTCCCCTGAAACCCATTACTGGATGAAGTGGTTAGAAAATGGATGGATCATTTTTAACTTTTAATTGTTTTGCCTTTGAATGTAGCAGGGAACTGGTGTCCCCACCTAAACCCACCAGAACACTAGTAAAAATATCCCAGAGATCCACATTTCCACCAAAAATGTATGGATTTAAAGTGCCTGAATACCCTTAGGGTTATGATCGCAAAATCCACACTTTCCAATTAAGCATCACTAAACATGAAGAAAAGTCATCCCTCAGAGTGCTTTGATACCACCTATGCAAGATGTTTCAAGCTACGGAGTCTGTAGAGCCAGGCAAATCATTTTGTGTTTTTTTTTTTGGCACTCAAAGCTATTTATGAGAGCATGCTATGCTACATTTCCTATCTGTTTACTAACAAAACATAAAGCAAGAAACGAAACTGTTTCTGTAAATGAAACCCTGCACTTGTGTTTTGATACCGATTTAAGTCAGGAATGTTAATTGCTCATATTGTTCAGTTATGTTTAATCTTTTGTGATAACATTAGCAACTAATTAGTAATACTTTGTTATGCAGAGAGTCAAAACGTAACAGGACGGAACTGCAAAAAACTGACAAAATTATCAATAGAAATACGTAATATTTTGTAACAGACACACTGATATTGTATTGGGCAGTTAAATTTTACTGACGTGTAAATTCATTATACTGATTAATAACTGTCGTTAACAGGGGGTGGAATACAAAAGACAGGCGATGTGATTGCACAGCTGGCGACAGGACAAGCTGCACATCTGTGATGCATAATTTACACCAGGCTGCATGCGGTCTTGAGAGATTGTCTTCCATTTCTTTTCTAGAGCCTGGGCAAGCATGTCTGTTCAGTGGTCTCTGAGGCCCAGGCATCACGCATCAGGTGGTGGTGTGCAGGGTCAGGTGAGGTCCCCGAGCTCACC